CTTTTCCCTGCTCTCTGTCTGGTCCCAGGGAGGAGTGGGGGGGGGGGGGCTGTCTATACCTTAGAGGGAGTGAGGCGTACTGGTTCAGGCTGTGTGGCTTTGGGGAACTCACCTCCCCTCTCTGGGCTTCGGTGAGGAGAGCCCACTGAATGGAAGGATCAGCTCAGAGGTGGCTGGAACTTTTTCTCCCTCAGGAAAGGGTTCCTATCCCAATGATTCTCATGTGGCATAAACTTGGAAACTCTCTCCCTTTAAAAACATGACCCCCAATTTAAGGGTCAATTTATGGTCAGGTTCAAATTACACTGGTTTGCCTGTGCCCTTGGGGGAAATTCTCAGACTCACCCCCAGGACTGGGGATTGCCCACCACCCCATCCCCCAGCACAGAAGGATGATCCATGGTAGTCAGCAGGAAGGGACCTCCTTGGGGATCAGGAGTAGCTGGGTTCATGCACATGTTCTGAGTAGTTCAGGCCAAATTACCCGTTCTGGGTCCTGGAACCACTGGGATGCTGAATTATAGGGGTTGTCTTTGGAGCTCAGTGCGGTGGCCTCTCCAGTCTCATCTGCGCAATGAGGACTCAACCAGTAAACCCCAGAGGGCTCTGGTCTCCGCCCAGTGCTTGCCCTGAGATGTGAGCAGGGACCCTTACATCTTTCACAAGAGCCCTAAGGGCAAGAGTCCCCAAGACCTCCAGGGAGGGGCTGGCTGCCTCCAGCTTCTCCGGGCAGGTAGTTGGAAAGTCAGGGGGGAACTTGGATTTCTTCTGGGCCCCTGATTTCACACAGGCAGGGTCAGAAGCCCACAAGGGCTTGGTGCAGCTGAGACCCTGCATCAGGAGGGGAAGGTAGTGGGTTGGAGTCTTCTAGCCTCCTCCCACCTTCGGCCCCCAGCCTCTTCCCTCTTTTCTTTCCTTCTTTCTCTCTGCTCTCTCCCCCTCCCCCTCCTCTCCCTCACAAAAGCTCTCTGTACACAGCCACTTCCTCTGGCTGCTGTCTCTGAGCCCAGACCTTATGAGAACCATATGGGGGAAAGAGGGTGGAAGAGAAGGGGGTGGGGAAGCTGTCGAGGGCCCGCCCCTCCAGCCAGCATCTTTCCACTCCCCTCGGGCTCTGCGCACGGGCCGTTGGCACACTTTGCCCCAAACTCCCCCAACTGGATCTTGGTGGCTGGGGTGAGGGGCACTGGGGGGAGGGCCCCGTCCAGAGCTGGGGCTTCAGAGGGAGATCTGTGTTCGAGAACCACTTTCCTGAGACTGGAGCAAGTGCAAGGGCTGTGAAGGGGCCTCCCCCTCCCCCATGCTGCTCCTAAAGACCACCAAACCCACAGCAAAAGGACCCAGCCACCATTAGGTGCGTCTGAATGGCAAATGCCCCTTCTCTTCCATGCGGGTTTTTGACGTGGTGGGCCACCCCCCGCCCCAGAAACGGGAGGCGAGGCTCGGGTGGCGGCGCGGAGGGGGTGTGTGGGTTCTGGGAGAGTCCGGAGTGACCAGTACCGCGCCTGCCCCCTCCGCACCCAGCCTTGGAATGTTCCCAGGTCAAAAGGGCCAAGGTTCTGCTGGGAAGGAACTGGGTTTTTGAAAGCAGCTTTTGTGTCCGCTGGGTCCCAAATCCAGCCAGGTGAGCACTGAGTCCCTCACCTGAGAGGAATGGAAGGCAGCCCAACCAGCTAATCCTGGCCTCAGTTTGCTCAGCCTGTAAGATGGGAGAGGCAGGGCTGGATTTGCTGATCTGCAAGGGCCTTTTCAGTGCAGACGGTCTAGGAATTTATGTGGTGGCTGGAATCCTCTGAGGGGCTGCTCAGATGTCCTGCAAGGTCCTCGCAGGAGATTTCCTTCTGGAGTTATCTGTTATCAGTCCTTTCCTAGAATTCCTTGTTACCCCTTCCCCCTCCCTCTCACTCCCAGAGCTGCCAAGCAGAGGGCAGGCCCATCAGCTGCTGCCCAGGAATGGGTGGGGGGGTTCACAGGGCTCCTCACATCTCTCCCAGGCTCTCCCCAAAACAAGTCACCCACCACACCCCCCACGAGACCTTCCCCCTTGGGGGAGAGCCATAAAGGCTCCTGCTCCGGACAGGAGCCTCGGTGCCCACGGCTGTCCTGTGGACTGAGCTGAGGGGTGGGACCGATGGATCAGGAAGGGAGCCAAGAGTTCTGCTTTCCTGGAAAACTGTGCATGAAAATCCATTAGAAGGGAAAAGAGCAAAGGGTGGGGAGAGGGGGCACACGGTCTACAAAAACAGAAGGCAGAAGTTAAGATAATAGGGGTGGAGGTGGAAGGGTTTTCAGTGAGGTAAATAGGGCTGTTCATGGAATTGCCTCAGAACTGCCTGCAAGCCCTCTCTGAGCAGAGACAGGAGGCTCCTTGCACACAGGCCCCTGATCTAGCGCTTTCTTTGCCTGAGTAATCCCAGCACTGGTGTCTACCAGGCTTCCCAAGGGGGAGTCCCGGGTCCCTTTGAGCAGGGTGGGGTGTGAGGGGGACTGGAACCTGGTGGCCCATTCTGGAGGGAAACAGGGGAGGAGGGAGGTAAAGCCGTGATGCAATAAAAAAAACAAACACAAAAACAAAAAAGCAACAAACATCAGCCTAAGTCCTATTGTTTGTACCAGGTGACAGGCAAAAAGGTGAAAGGAAACAAAAAGAGTAAGGAGGAGGAGTTGGGGAGGGTGTGGAGAAGGTTTCCAAGCTCTTAGCCTCTTGCTTCGCTGTCAGGCTGAAGCCCCTTCCCAGCCCTGTCTCTCTTCTTCCCTCAAGAGGCATGCTGGGAAGGGATGGGTATGGCTGAGCCCTGAGAAGAGAATCCCTGCCCAGCAACCAGGATCAGGATTATGTGGGGCCTGGAGGGAGAGCCTAAGAAATATGTCCGTGGCTGGGATCCAGTTGCACTCTAGGCTGATGGGCCAGTGGGCTCTCAGGGGCTTCTAGGGCCTGCCCTGCCATCACTGTGGGGATGTCCAGCCAGGCTCAGGGGCTGTTCCTATGGAAGGTATGTTAAGCCAGCCAGGTCAGTGGCCTGGGACAAAGAAGAGGCCCTTCCTCTGGGAATGGTTTGCCATGGGAAGGTGAGCTAGCAGTCACGTTTGCTGCTGCCCTGTCACAATATATTCTCACCAAGAGTTGGCTGTGCCCACTCACTCACTCCTTGCAGTGGCGTCGGTGGGAATTAGCTATGGCTGGAAAGCATTAGTTACCAAATCATTCTAAGATGTACTGCAAAACCACCTTTTAATGTTTCCCCCCCTCTTTTCTGCCTTCAGTGTGTTAGGATTCCCTAATCCCAACAAGCAGACATACAGAGGGACGGTGTCCCCCATATGTGTGTGAGCACAGCCACAAGAGCCAGTGCACAGACGCACAGACACACAGAGTCCTCTCTTGAACTGAGTTATCATTGCTCAGTGGGGACTCACACAGACTCCCGCCCAACCATTCCACACAGCAAGCATTTTTCTCCTCCAGAACTGAGTGGGCCGGGGAATGCCCAGGCCTGTCTGGACCCTTCAACACCACTGGACAATCAAAGAGACCAGGAAAGAGCAGCCACAGCTGCCTTCCCAGGCCACGGCCACATCCCAGGGCTGCTGCTGAGACGTGGGAGCCGGCGGACACATTGCCTCCACTCCCCCCCATGCACACACATACGCGCACGCGCGCGCGCACACACACACACACACACACACACACACACACACACACACACACACACACCCCAGCTGGGGAAAATGCAGGCCAGGCGGCCAACGTCAGAGGCTGACCAGTCGTGTCCTGTCAGGAAGCCGGCAGCCTCTGAACTCACCCAACCAGAGGCATTACTGTATTGTTCTGGACACAATCAGGATAGACTGTGAGCCAGCCCCAACTCTGGGCAAGGGGCGGCGGGGGACGGTTGCCACTGGGGTCAGGAAGCCAGGAAAGGGGAAGCGCATGCAGGTTAGGTCCGGGACAGGAAAGGCATGGGCCGCGGCTAGGGCCGGACCCTCCACTCCACGGCGTGCGTGGAGCTGGGAGCACGTGGTCAGGGCAGGAAATCGCCGCCGCGGGTCGGGGTCGCTAATTCTCCTGCGGTTGTGGGGGCTTCAGGCCCCCATCAAGGAGGCTTGGGGGCGGGTGGTGGTTCGAGCCGCGCTCGTAGCCAGCAAAGTGAGAGCTCGGGAGGGCCCTGGCTGAGAAAGGAAACGGGATGACGGAAGGAGGCTGGGAGGCAGCCGCCTCCCCCTCAGCCAGGTTTCTTTCTTCGCAGTCTTGGAGCGAAGAAGTCAATCGATTAACAGCCAAAGGTCGTGTTGTACCCAGGGGAGGTAAAGGAGAGGGCGGGATGCAGGACCCGGCGCACAGCTCACTTCACCGACGCGCGCGGAGGGAGAGGGGCCAGAGGGCGACCGGGACGCCGGGGTCTCATCCAGGCCAGAAGCGCCGCAATCCCAAGGACAGATTTTCCGAGCCCTCCCTCCCTCCTGTCCCGCGGAGACAGTCTGGAAGCGGGGCTGGCAGGCTCGTGGGGCGGGTGGGGCGCCCCCCACTGGAGGAGCCAGGCCCGCGGGGTGAACCCGGGAGATTCCTCCAGCCCGGCCGAGGACGCGTCCTCCGAGGTGACGACCACAGCCACCCTTTGGGCCGCGGGTCGATCTTTCCTGAGCCTTCCCCCAGCCCACCCACCTCAGGTCCCCGAAGTCTGCAACACCAGCCCAGACTGGAAAGTCGAGGGGCGTGGGCATCCCGCCAGGGCGCATTCCCCTCACCTGTGCAGGTGAGTGGGCGCCCGCGGTCCCTCTCTCTGGGGCGCAGCCGCCCCCCAAGTCCCCTCCTCCTTCCACACCCCGGAGCCCTAATCCTTCCCGTACTGCTCCAAGCCTCCCTTCACGGCGCCTGGACGCAGGCCTGTCCTAAAGTCTCTGAAGCGGCGGCAACGTCCCGTCCCCCTCTTCCCGCCCCTCCCGTCCTGTCTTCCTTCTCGCTCTCGTCGGGGCTCGGGCCGGCCGAGTAGGGTACTCACAGGGTAACGGTGCCGTTAGGCAGAAGGCCGGGCTCCGGAGGCTCCGGGAGGTCCCCGCCGCCGCACAC